ACACTATTCACTAGATGATTTATAAACTTAAAATCTTTCATAACTGGTGATAATTCAAGCAAACATAGTTTGAATAAAAGAAGATGTTCTTTGATGACTAAGAGTTCAAAACAAATGCATTTTTGAGTGTAAACTATCCTTTGGTACTAGCTGAAACTTCGAACTGCCGACAATCATGATGAGGTCCTATCAACTTGGAAAATACTGGTACTCGATGACTAATATTAAAAACACTACAGATGAGATTGAAAGGAATGGAGAGGTATTGATAGACCTGACAGAGTAGTGCTGAGCAAAGCAAATAAAATGCTTAACTGCACAGGTATAGTGGTAGAGTGGAAAGCTTATGTTGTACACTCTCATCTACCCAGTCTGGTCACGAAAGGATTAAAAGTAGACATTTAGAGTATTTCAAAGATCACCTATGTGACTGCCTCCTAGTGTCAGAGAACTAAGCAAGGAGGGGGGAAAAAAAAACTGAAAAAGCTTGACTTGGAAGAATTACCAAGAAGGGATTCCATGATAGTAAACTGCATTACTTCGAACTGGGGATAAAATAGTGGTGGTAGAAACAGTGTGTCACAGAGAAACAGAATAGCTTGAAAACAACTAAACTTAACCATGAATCTAACTAATGAATGTTCTTGTTCGCAAAGTACGATCAGCATTTGGATTGCAACTTCAGGTTTGATACAGGAGACTTGTGTTTTGAAATAGTCTAAGAAACAGCTAACTGCGTGAATCAAGGATGGATGAGCTACAATAAGCTAAAAGGTTTACTTGACTTCAGCTTAAGAGGCGATTTAGTTGAAATTTGGTGGCAATAAAATTGCATTTGCACTTGGAGACAGGACTAGTTTTAAAGGTCAACTGATTCCTGGCTATTAGGAAAGGTACAGACATTTGAGAGGATAGTGGAAAATTTAACACTTATACCTCCATCTAATTGCATGACTCGCTTGATCGGACAACAGTTTAAACTTATTTTGTTCACAATTAATTGAATATTACCATCTGTGAAACTCTTGCATCGTGTTCACATTTATCAAACTTCAGGCAACATACATTTTTTTAAAGAATGCATTTAAGAAAATTGGTCTGAACCCTTAAGTTAACAAGTAATTACACCTGCTTTCTAAGTGGGAAGGGAGGCATAAGACAGATTAGCTTCAACCAGGAATACCCCCAATTAATATCATAGAAACCCCACTTATATAGAACTTCGAATGGTTAGACAACACTTATATAAAACTTCTAATGGTCAGATAAACTTGATCTTAATTATACATTTCACTATGTGCTCATTCAACCAGTAAAGTCATTACTGATCAGATGGACTACATGTTGGGAGATGTGAAATCAGACATAACCTATTGCTGCTCATCATTTTGGTTTATTTTAAACAATCCCCTGATATAGGTCAAGAAGGGAAATGTAAATACCAACAAAAACTGGAATTGCTGGTAATGCTCAGTAGGTCTGGCAGCTTCTGTGGAGAGAAATCAGCGTTAGCATTTCATGTCTGGTAACCCTTCATTGTAAATGTAAATAGCATACCTACATACATCAAATATTTCAAAGCAAGCTGCCTAAACTGTCGTAACATAATTCAGTATAGCTACAGCACCCAATTAAAAAGGACCTGGCAAAGCCACTGATTTCTACAAGTGTGATGTCAATTGCTGAATTTTCCAGAAGGCCTGGAGCCAGTGGACATGCTGGAGTCAGAGACAACATAGTTGGAGCTGGAGGAACACAGCAGGTCAGGCAGCTGATAAGGCATGGCATAGATATGGTGCACCAGATTTCATATGAATTCACACAAAGTCAAAATGAACCTTTTTATGCATTTTTGAAGATTATATATCTTAATACAACATTTCGATAGCGAATGGTGTGATGTGTCAGAGCTGTCACACCATTCTATCTTTCTGATTGTAAAATATAACATCTAATCATTTAAAAAGAAATAAAACCTTTCAGATTAAGATGTTCAGAGCTCACTCAATCCCAGGTATGAAACAGCTGAATGAACATGAAGCTGAAACTGAAATATTTTGGAACAAATTAGGGTCTCTCTATTAACAATTGTTTATTTCCTTCACGCTTACATGCTTAGAAATTCATTCAAGGTGGTCAGGATGTGGCAATGATGGCAAGACCATGTTTATTTTCATTCCGACAGAGTGTAGTGGTTGCCAACTTCTTACTGTTTTTACCCAAAACAAAAAGCTTGAACGGTTACTTCAAAAAAACAGTGTCAACCACTGAGTATGGTCTAGGGTCACCAGTATTCCAGAGCAGCTAACATAAGAACACACAGCACAGATGGAAGCCTTTCAGCCTGTCACACCAGTCATCACACGACACCAGATTATAGTCCAACAGGTTTACCTGAAATCAGAGACAACGCAGTTGGAGCTGGAGGAACACAGCAGGTCAGGCAGCAGAGGAGGAAAGTTGATGTTTCAGGTTGGGACCCTTCTTCAGAAAATTTTCTGAAGGATCCTTTGTCACTCCTGCCTACACCACCTAACGAAGAACCAGCACTCCAAAAACTTGTGATTTCAAATAAACGTGTTGGACTATAACCTGCCATTGTGTGACTTCTGACCTTGTCCACCTGAGTCCAACGCCAGCACCTCCACATCATATCATGCCAGTGCAAGCTCTCTGATTTATCCAATTAGTTCTACAGCCCAATATATTCACCGTAGCCCTACAAGGTTTTCCTTGTTAAGTATGTACCTAATTGCTTTTCAAATTTACTGTTAAATCTGCTGTGACAGCCCTTCAAGGCAGTGCATTCTCGATCATGACAACTCGTTCTGTAAATAAAATTTACCTCATTCTCATGGCAGGTTTTAATCCCAAAACGATATTAACAAACACGTTTTTCGTGGCACTGTAGCGTCCTGTCAATTATCTGATATTATTGAATTCTCTGTGGTGAAATTTCAAGGTGGCGAATCATGGCAATGTAGCCACTTTATCCATGGTATTTTTATCCTTTCTGCTGTTCATTATTTTAACAAACCCTCAAAGTTCCATTCTGATATTTCTGCCTTTGATTCCCTAACTTTGGCCCAGTGCAGGGCTCAAGGTGATGGCAGCAGGACCAGTTTTCAAGATGGCAGCAACTGCAAGGCAGCCTCTGAGGTCAGCATCGGTTAGCTGCGGCAGGCCTGAATCGGTACTCCTGGCAGATTGACGGGAGCCGTGGTTGTATCAGTGGCAATGTGGTAGGCCCAGTATGTTGCTCCTGATGGCACAGCAGTAGTGGCCCTAGAATGGGATTTCAGGAATGGACTGTGATGCTGGGGCATTAGTGGTCTTGGAACTCGTTGTGGAGACCCTCCACACACCCTTCCATGTCAAGCAGAGCACAAGAGGGAGGAAGAACTCTATTTTTAGTTACATTTTAGTTATACCTTAATATCTTCTGTAACTCAAAATGGCACCAGAGCCTGGTGACATATTACACTTTTCACTGTTTTTATTTGTTAAATACAAGTGACAATAAATTATTCAATTCAGTTGCTCCCATGCAATGCTCAATGTATAACGTAAGAAGGGTACCTCACTTTCCCCCTTAAAACACTGCATAGCAGTCTGCTTCAAACACAGTAGTCACTTAAAATAATTTCTGCTTTCCCAATTTCCCCTTCAGTTTCTGCTTTTCACATGTTTATCCATTCTATCATGGAAAAGTTTCACTCAGTGTTTATCTTCCCATGAAGGGTCACTGAATTTGAAATGCTAACTCTGTTTTTCTCTCTACAGATGCTGCTAGACTTGCTAAGTTTTTCCAGCATTTTCTGTTTTTGTTTGAGTTCCATCATCTGCAGTTCTTTGTTTTATCTTTCTATAGACTTTTTAGACTTTCCATAGCCTAACCAAGATAGCATATTTTTAAAACAATGTTTTCTATTATCACCTTGTTGTTGCACAGTTCCACAGGCAGCATGCAGTTTCCAGTTGCTCACCAAACTGGCGATTTTAACAAAAGCATGGAAAAGCAGACCTTTTGTTCATTCCCTATTCTGTCCTCACCCAACATGGAAAGGCAGCCTCACGCGCTGTATGGAGACAAGGCCCGGCACAGTCTGCTTGAAGGACAATAATGCTGAACTTTTTATTTCTTTATTTTTCTAATTTATTCCTAAGATTTTGTACCTAGGGACCTTGTACCTAAGATGGCATGAAGGAGTATAATGCAGAACATTTCCTTATTTTTCTAATTTATTCACAAGATCCTGTACCTCAGTACCTTTGTACCTAAGATGGTACCATAAGTGACGACCTTGTAAACTTTTCACTGCATTCATGTGAGTACATGATTCTAATTTCACACGTGCATATTTTCCAGGAAGAGGTAAACAATGGCTTTTTTCTCTTCCACTCTTTCCTAGCCATTGGTCATGAAGAGCAATTGTAAGAATCCCATTTGAGGCATAAAGATCAGGTAACTTCATACAATTCTAGATTTTGGGAATCATTGTAGTCTGTGTAGCTGAATTCCAGAGTAGCTGGATTCCAGAGTAGCTGGTTGGTTTATCAAATGAATCACACAGTGGCCTGAGACATACTGTTGGAGTGATGCACTGTTGGAGCTTTATCTTTTAAATGAAACATTAAAATAAGAAATTAATATTGCGTCTAATATAAAAGAGCCCATGGCACTATTTCAAAGAACTGGAGTTATCCTTGGTGTCTTGGTCATTTCTAGTCATTATCACATTGCTGTGGCCATTTGCTGTGTACAAATGGGCTGCCACATTTCCTACAGCTCAAAAAAGTACTTGATTGACTGGAAAGGTCTGATAAGTTAAGTGGTCATAAAGGACACTATAAATGCACATCTTTCTTTTATATATGTTAGTAGAAATAGATACCAAAAGCTAGCAGCATGGGGGTAAGGAGGAGAAAGGAATTGAGAGAGAGGGGACAATCCTTGATTTATATATTTTAAATTAATAAGTTAAAAAATCAAATAAATCTTTTTGCAGGATTGTAAACAATATATTTTACATCATAATGCTCATAACTTTTCTCTTTTCACATGCACACTTATTTACATATCAACAAATACCATAAAACACCAGCCCAGTCCTCCAACTAGCAGCATGGTCACATGGATCCCATAGATAAAGAGTTCATTGATTGTGTTGAAATCAACACGCCTGCGCCCCAGCAACAGGAGCACTATGGAGAGCTTGTACTGAAAGCGCAGAGAAACACGTATGGAGAAGTACTGGATGCAGAAGAGAATGGACAGTGCCACCCAGAGCATGGACGTAAAGAGACTACAGCTGAAATAGAGCAGGAAGCGGACAAAACCATACATCCAACGTGATTTCAAGTAAAGGTCGAAGTTGTTGTACTTGGTCCGGACAAGATGAGTGGTCCGTACAGGGCCACATGCCGAGTGCAAGCACGTAGTGTGGGGGCCATGGAAAGAACGCACCCGGCGGGGGATTGGGATTACAGGCATCAAGGCAGGTTGCTGCAATGTCCCCTCGTTGATTGGAGCCCCAGGAAAAGTGACTTTGCTAACAGAAAACAAATCATTGTCTGTTACTGGTCAGCAGCCTCCCACTGTTGGCTGTGTAACTGAAGTCTATGATCTGCCATGTCTCGACTGAAGACTATTCCTGCAAGAGAAAAGCAAAAGATCAAATCATAGGGAAAAAAAAGACATATAAATGAAGCATTCTTCAGTTTTACTGCAAGAATTTCCCACCATTCTCATTTAATGTTTCTTCCCTCCTGAAGATGCTGACTTGCATAATGGACAGGAGCAGCAGACCAGTCATCATGGGAACGTAGTGGCACAGTGATAATGTCACTGGACGAGTAGTCCAGAGCCCCAATGTTCTGGGGACATGCGTTCGAATCCTACCGAGGCAGCTACTGAAATCTGAATGCGGAATTTAAAAAAGTTAGTCTAGTAGCAACCATGTAACCACTGCTGACTGCAGTAAAAACCCATCTGTTTCACTATTGTCCTTTAGGAAAGGAAATCTGTCATCCTCACCTACATGGGAGTTCAGACCCACAGCAATGTGGTTGACTCTTATCTGCCCTCTGAGCAATTAGGGATGGGCAATAAATGCTGACCAAGCCTGTGACACCCGAATTTCATGAAGGAAAAAATAAAGGATATGCACAAGGGGGGAGTCCTTTGCATACTGTTGTATCAATCCCAGTCAAGACCGGACATTTCACATACACTTGCACCCCTCTGACATTATTCGTCAGCCTTGTAAAACTGAATCAGAACTAAGAGTCAGCAATTTAACAGGACAGAAATTAAACAAATTGGCACAAAATTAAGAATCCATCCACTTGCTCATTAGGGATCAACATAAGCACAGAGTGAAAGATTTGAGTTATTATTCACATTTAATGCTAAACCTACCCTTGACTGAGATTTTAATTCTCTCCATACTTGGTTCATCTGGTGCCCCAACAGTCCTCTTCTCTAACCTGTACAAGTCACTATGGTTATCTTATTACAGCTATGTTCATCAAAAAACAAATTAGAATAATTCTTTCTAATGAGCATATTTTTTAAAAGGGGTTTTGAAGGTGAATCTCCCTCTTTCAGGCTGTAATTTCTTAATAACAGATACCTATTTCATCCAATCACGATCTCTCTACATTGCACCAGCAGATTTATTTTTCTATAGCAATTGGTTTCATTCAAATGCTATTTTATGGATTTTTTGTGAGTTATACAGCTGACCTTTCTTATAAAAAAAACACATTTTGGAAAGACCTGTTAGGGGTAGAAAGGAGGAAAGAAGAATATCAGTCCATCAGTAATCCTGTAAATTTGAGTGTTTACTATTTCCTTCCATCTCTAATATTGCAATAATTTATAATGGGGCATATAATTTGGATATTACAGAAAGTTTTGTTAATTATTACTTTTAAATTCTGGTCCTTAGCTGTGCTAGGTTCGCAATTTCTGTTCTTGCTGTTCATTTCTGATAAATTCATTTTTAAAACAAGGGAGACATTTTAATGCAGGAGATTGCCAATGCAGCTCAGGTAGGTGAGAGGACAAGGGAAACCGAAAAGTAGAGATTGGAGTAGACAATAACATAGCACAAAGACACAGAGGCAAGCCACTCAGCCCAACCAATCCATTGCTGGCGTCCACTCAAGCCACCTCTCATCTTTCTTTATCTAAATTTATCAAAGCAACCAACTATTCCTGCTCCCTCATATGCTTGTCTAGATTCCCCTTCAATGCTTCCATACATTTCACTTCAATACTGTGGTAGCAACTTTTAAAGGATGACCCAGATTAGTAATCACTTACATCCACACAGCAGTTTTGAAACACAGCCAAGCATCCCAAATGCGGGAGGACAAAGCAGCCCGCTTGATTGGCATCTCAACCATAAACATTCACTCACTCCACCACTAACACTTGTAAATAGAAAACACTGCTGCTACCAAGATGCACTGCAGAAGTTCACCAAGGCTTCTTTCAAATTCACAGCACTGCCATCTAGAAGAACAAAAACAGCAAATGTATGGAAATAAAACCATCTGCAAATTCCTCTCTGAGCCACTTCTCATCCTACCTTGGAAATATACTGCTATTCCTTCAGTTTTGCTGGGTCAAAATTCTGGAACTCTGCCGAACAGCATTGTGGGTGTACCTACACCAAATGGATTACAGCAATTCAAGAAGGTAGCTCAACATATCCTTCTCAACAGCAACCATAGTTGGGCAACAATTGGTGGCCCACTCAGTGATGCCCATGTCTCATGAGTGAATAAAAAAATGCTGCAGAGTTACAGGAGGAGGAATTTGGTTGTGGGACAGGAATTAGGAGATGTTGGAGTTGCCCATGGCTGAAGAAAATTGTCAGTTCAGGTAGCAGTTTCCAGAGTCAGAATCATGGCCTTCATGCTTATGGCAACCAGATAAGATAATGAAGTTTCTCATAGAGATCTTAGTGGGAAAGAGAAAAATTGCTATTTGGTAAAGGGAATGTCAAATCTTATCATAATCAAAGGCTTTTTAACTATTACCATTACATATTATACATGTAGGCATACGGAAATTAAAAGTGCAACTAACTAACATCCTTTAGACAAAAGGCTGTAGATAGTATTTTACATGATAGTAAGTTATTATTTACTTGCATAGATCATTTTTATACACACTACCCATGTCAATAGTTTCCTCAGCATGAGGACATCCAGATCCTTCTGCATGGCGGCTAATACTGATATCATGGTATGCAAAGCAAATATATGATCATTAATCAGAGATGGCCTGACTTTTACCAGAGCAATATTGCAAAAAGCAGAAGAAAATCAGTACATTTTGGAACTGGATTTCTACAAGCAGAGACCGGAGATTCCAGAAATGGTAGCAAAAATGGAAGCATTTCAAGCAAAATCAGTCATCACTCACAAAGCATTCTCTTCAAAAAGGCAAGACAATGGCCCGTAAAAAAGTAGACCAAACGAAGTACAGTTCCCTGCTGTAAAAACAGAATCCTGCCTAGCAAAAAGCTGGCATGATGGTTCTGATGTGCATTTGCTTTTCTTTTAAAATTCCACAAGGGACAGATTTGCTTTTTAAATTGTGCCTTTTAAACACTGTAGAAGCTTCAGCTCAAGCACAGCATTATTTGATGTTTCTCAAGCTCTTCCCAGCACTGTGATGTTGCCAAGACACTACAACTGATCCCAATACTTAAGATTCTGCTTCCACCATCTTGGAAAGATGGGAATTGAAAGAAAAAAAAACATGGAAATATCAATTAACAGGTACACTGTTCAGCCTTTTAAAATGACAAAAAGACTTGTTATTACACAACAACAAAAGACCAGCTTTATTTATTGGCCCGTTTCATACATATCTTGCACTTGTGCAAAATTACCTTGGCTTCAGACAACAGTAAAAATTACAGTTGAGTGCAAATGTAGGGCAACCAAGATACAATTAAGCAGAATTGCAGAATTAAACACAATTGCAGAACTCTCTTCAGGTGATACTGTCTCACTGCTCAAGTTTCACAACAAATACAGCATACCAACTAATTTAACAATTCCCATGTTCATTCTCTCAACAGACACAATACCCTTAATGCGAACTCTAGAACAGGGAGACACTCATCACCATTTCCTTATTGTAAATAAAATGAACATGTTCCTGGAGAATGAAGGTGAAGGTTGTAAAAAGAAATAATAATACCACCAATGGCCAAAGTGTAAGATTTTAGTCAACACTCCTTCTGATTTGGACAGCATTTTTTCCTGATTGAGCCTCTCATGTTACTTTTGAATTTTACATTAACTTAAAACAAGTTTCAATGAAAGAAAGTGGAACATAGGTCAAATCTTTTGGGGTCACAATTTCAATACCAAGATCAAATGGAAGACCTGGCTCACCACCATATCAGAAAGGGCAATGTGCAGGCTCCTGATACTGGAGGGTCAGTAGGAGGCCTACCAGTACTTGCTAATGGAAGTAAACAGAGAGGGCGCCTTAAGTTGCAACTATGCAACTAGGTGGAGCAATGGCTTACAGAAGAGTCTCTCATGGTCCTGAGCTTTAATTCAGGCCAATGTGAAGGGATTAAAACATGTTCTGACTTGAAGGACCCTATATTGCAGAATCATGGGATTGTTACAGTGCAGAAGAAAGCATTTTGCCAGTCACGTTTGCACCAGTTCTCCATGAGTAACTCACCCGGTACCATTCCCTCCCCTTCTCCCTAATCCTGTATTTTCTTCCTTTTCAAATAAACATCAAATTCCCTTGTGAATGCCTTGATTGAATGGGAATCCACCAAGTTCTCAAACAGTACATTCCAGACCCTGACCACGCACTGCAGGAAGAAAGCTTTTCCTCTTATCTCTTTTGCCAATTGCTTTAAGTCTTTGCTGTCTTGTTTTTGATCCTTTCAGGAATGGAAAAGTTTCTCCCTTTCTACTCTGTCCGGATCCCTGCTCTGCCATTCAATTGGATCCTGATCATCTGCTTCAACCCCACTTCCCTGCATTATCTCTGATGTGGAGATGCTAAATGTTGGACTGGGGTGGACAAGGTCAGAAATCACTCAACACCAGGTTCTAGTCCAACAGGTTTATTTGAAAACACAAGATTTTGGAGCCTCACTCCTCTTTCAGATGTTAGAAGGAGTGAGGCTCCAAAATCTTGTGTTTTCAAATAAACCTGTTGGACTAGAACCTGGTGTTGAGTGATTTCGGACCCTGCAATATCTCTGCGTCCCTTCATATCAACAGTTCCCAGAAACCTATCACATTCTTTCTTGAACATGCCCAATGATTGACCTTCCACAGCCCTATTCGGGTGGGTGGCAAAAGCTATTGCCTGAATCACACATCACTTATGTAACCCACCACCCCTCACCAAGACCCGGCCCTGTATGTGCTCCTGCTAACCTACATTGCCTCTCCACTAACTCCCTGCTTACCCTGCCTCACCAAAACCACTACCACAACATCTCTGCACTCACCTGGTGCTGGGTTCCCAGGACTTAGAATCTGGGGACTACTTGTAATCCGAGAACTGTCTACTCTGTCCAGACCCCTCATAATTGTGAAAAACTTTATCAAATCTCCTCTTAGCTTTCTCTTCTCAATGGAAAAAAGACCTAAACTCTCCAGTCTATCTTCATAACTGAAGTTTCTCATCCCCAGTGTCATCCTCATGAACCTCTTCTGCACTTGCTACAATACATTCACATCCTATAAAATAAACAATGATTTACATGAAATTATTTAAGTTGGTTTGAGTCCACTTTTAAAAGCTGGATAAAGACCTGGAATAGACTGATTTTGTTTCATATCTAAGCTTGAGGCCATCCTCAGATGGTCTCACACCACCTTGTTGAAATCCAAACATGACTCTGGTGATTTATG